TCAGGGTAGGATATCAGATATCCTACATATCAATTTCACATTATGATCTGTAACAGTAGAAAACTTATAGTTATAAAGTAGTAATGAAAATTTTATGGTTCCAGGGATCACCACAACATGAGGAACTATATATTAAAGGGTGACAGCATTAGGAAGGTTGAGAACCACTGCTCTAAGCTAACAATTCTTAAAGACAGTATCTTTTCTAGACTTTGAACCTCAAAGTCATGATAGTAACCCAATAAGTGAAAGAAGTCTTTTGTCAAATTGCTGTCAAGGTCCACCTTCCTAAGTGTCACTGGAGACGGCAGTGCATGGGCAGTGGCTATTGGTGGCGCACGCCTTTAATCCCAGCACTCGGGAGGCAGAGGCAGGCGGATTTCTGAGTTCGAGGCCAGCCTGGTCTACAGAGTGAGTTCCAGGACAGCCCGGGCTATACAGAGAAACCCTGTCTCGAAAAACAAAAACAAAAACAAAAACAGAAGCAGCACCTACCATCTCCCACACAGCCTACGAAAACTACAGACACATTTATTGCTAGTTATTTATTACTTTAAAATGTTTTATGTTCAATTATTTTTCTGTACCCTAAGCCTTTATTTCTTCAGTTTTTTCTAGGGTTCTTTTTTCTGTGCAACCTCCTCTTCTAAGTTAAGAGCAATTTAACCCTCTCCAGTGATGGACAATAGGATGTTTGAGGCAAGGGGAACCCCAATATAGAACTCAATCTGCCCCTGAGTTCTGTAAGTCCACTGGCACATCTTAAGTAGTTCACTTGTTTATGTGAATACAGTCAGTAACCAAGAATCTACATGTAAATCCAAGAATTACTCTCTACATTTTAAATGATGTGCAAAAAACAAAAGAAAGTTAGCACTCTCTTTGAGCTGCAGATGCTGCAACTGGACCCACTGCTTGGCCTGGATATACATATTAGCCCCATCATGGTAACAACATAATAGCACACACTGCTTTTATAAAGTGGCATCTTCTGGGTAGCTGGTAGCTTTTCAGATATAACCTTGATAGACTCAGCAGTTTCATGGGCATTCATTCTTGAACACCAAAACTTTAAACTCTTGATGTGCGTAATTTTATAGGTTCTTATGGTCAAGACATTTTCATACATCACCTCAAATAACTTATGGAAAAAGCTAGGGATTAAGTTAGACTTAACAGTTATGAACTTTATATCTAAACATAAACCCTTGATTCAAGGATCCCAAAACCCAGAAACCTTAGTCCAATTTACTCTTTGTGATCTATTCATCTAGTACTTTTAACTCTGAGAGAAATGGAGTTCAACTTTATAACCAATATCGAGTTATATTAGTGCATGTGTATAGCCAAATACCTTCAAATTAGTGATAAAAGTTTACATGCAAGCTTAAAAGATTGTCCCTCTCAAAGAGCCCTCTTCAGGTAGCTAAAACAAGGTTAAGCAGGTTGAAATCCTGAATGGGTTATTAGCTGCAGATCCATAGTAGCTACAATTTTATCTGATCTACATAAAGAATTTGCAGATTTCCCTGCAGAAAAACATTAGTGTCCTACAAATATGTCTGAAAGTAACTGCTTTAAACACTATATTATCAGATATCAGCCACAATGAGAGGCATTTTATTTAATTAATATTCATTACCAAGATACTGATGATCCCTTCCAAATTATCTGTCACTTCTTTCATTTAGTGCAGTGCTTCAGGCTACAGTAATAAATAAGCCAGGGCCCTTATAATCTAAAACAGCATATTCATGAATATTCATTGGAAACCAAAGATTCAAATGAATAGAGTAACTCTTTTCCCCAATACTTCCAAGAATGGCATGTGGCTAATGTCACCCTGCACACATGGGGATAACATTAGTTCGTTACACAAAACATATGCCTTAGCATTAGGGCTTGCTTCTCTCCCTAAATGCTTGTTAAAAAGAGCTGCTATGGGGGGGAAAGAAGCATCAGTCAAATTTAAATATAATGGGTATCTTATCAATTACAGTAAGAAATAACTGGGAAACTAGGCAGCTTGCCTTAACTTAGGATCCAGAGAAGGCATATGTTTCACACACATTCAGTTAGTAGTATCCCAACATAAACAAAAATAAATAAACAAACAAACAAAAACCAAAAAAAACAAATAAGAAAACCATTGCATAGAGCAGCAGCTTTTAACCTGTGATCACAACCCCTTTGGAAGTCAAATGACCTTTTACAGAGGTTGACTAAGACACAGATATTTACATTAAGATTCATAACAGTAGCAAAATTACAGTTATGAAGTAGCAACAAAATAATTTCATGGTTGGGGGTCACCACAATGTGAGGAAATGTATTAAAGGGTCACAGCATTAGGAAGGTTGAGAAGTACTATCCTAGAAGTTAAATACTGACTACATGACTTACTATGAGTATTGCCTTAGGTTTAAACTTTATATGGAAAAAGGGGACCAAAATCAAACCAAAGCAAAGCAAAGCAATCCACTTTGGGGCTTGAGTGTTATGTGAGATGTACAATGAGAAGGCTTCCCATTTGTCATGGTTCCTTGTGTCATAATTCCTCCATCTCATGTGCAAATCAATTCTAGGTCCTGGGGAAACAGTGAGAAAGGTGAGGACTATGCCACCCACAGCTATGACCCACACAAAAAAAGAAAAGGATCACAGAGAAATATAAAATATCAAAAATAAAATGGGAAGGTATGGCAAAGCACACCTGTGATCCCAGCACTTGGGAAGCTGAGGAAGAAGAACCATCATGATTTTGAAGACAGCCTGGACTACACAGTGAGAGCCTGTCTTAGAACAAAAACAATAAAAATCATACCCAATTTTCGAAGAATCCGTTTGCATTCATCCCTGCTGAGATCCAAAAGGGTTGGCCACACAACAGGCATTGCTGCTTCTGTTTGGTAGCCCCAAAGAGCTTATCCTCCCTATCAGAAGAAAAACAAATCAAATTACCAATGTATATGCAAGGATATGGAGTTCCTTCGACTGGCTACAAAGATTTAAAAGATTTTCCCTTTTCATCTCCACACTTCCAAATCCTGAGAAATGAAACAAACCGTCATTTGAGAGGACACTGATACAGCTCATACTAACAGGGGAAAGAATGGGTTTTAAAGTCAAACACTTCTTGGTTCCAGATCCAGCTTTACAACATAATTAGTTGTTTCATCCTAGTGAATTGGCCTGTCTGAACCCAATTTGTATACCTTCATTTTTTTTAAAAAAAAAAAAGTAATGCCACCCAGTTTGTTATAAGTATTAGAAAACAGGGCATGCCAAGTTCTTTCATAGTGGCTGGCATATGACTTGCCAAATTGATTCTACCACCTGTGCAACCTTGGACAAGTGACTTGACCTCTGCCAGTTTCCTTAATAATAAGTTAAGAGATAAAATAAGCAAAGGGTAAAGCAGGTTATTTGGATAAATGGAACTCAAATAACTCTTTTCTCAAGTTTTGGCAGAAGAGTCATTTCCACCAGTTACCAAAAGTTTAAAAGCCTGGAATTTCACACTATGAATTCCTTTGTCACACAGAACCGGTAGTTCTCACACTACAGGTTGAGAACTCAGTAGATCTTCCTTAGCATCTATTAAACTGATAAATGAATGGTCAGCAGGAGAGTATAATGAATGAATGAACCAGCCTGAGTCAAACACTAAACCGATATAACTCTTCTATTGCGTTCCGGGCTCTGGGTTGCTAACTCCAACTCTTGGCCTCAAGTGGAGCCCCCTTCCCCCTACTTCCCATAGTCCTCTGAGCTCAGAACCAACCCTGTGCGTGCCGAACTGGACGGCGCGCCCCAGCTGGCAGGATGACATAAAGAAAGGGGGTGGAGAGGAGGAAGGGGCAGAGCCAAAGGAATCCGCTCGCTCCCCAAGCCAGTCCCCGCCTCCCGGTAGAATCTCGGAGGCGGCCGGCGACCGCCCGAATCAGGCACCACGTCACGGCATCCCAAAGCATCCCCTCCAGGGAAACCCACGGCCGGGCCGCACAGCAAAGGAAAGCCGGGCAGCAGCAGCCTGAGCGTGCTCCGGGGTCGCACCGATTCCGTCCCCGCTCAAGTGTCAGCAGGCAGCCCGCCCCGCCCCCTCTCTAAACACGCACTCCTTCACAGCACCACAACAAGAGCAGCTCGCCCGGCTCCTCGCCCGCGCGGCTCAGAGCCGGTTCCAATGTCAAGCCCGCGCCCCCGCGGCCAGCAGCCGGTGTTGAGAACCCTGGCCAGCGTCCGCGCCTCGCGCACTACTCAGCGGAGAGGACAACGGAGAAAAAGCAGGGGCGCAGACAGCCAGACAGACAGCCCGGAGTCGCCTCGGGGTTGCTAGACCTCGACCTCCGGTGTCCCATCACCAGGCATGCCGGAGTTCCCCTCAGTCCACTTGAGGGAGCCCCGCGATCCCGTTAGGAAACAACGGAGGATGGGGCTGACCGCTGCAAGCCGGGCTCCCCATGCCTGGCCAAGCACTCTCCTACCCTGGATATCCTGCCAGCTCTTCCCAGGACCCTGCCTGAGAGACACCCACCTGCCCGGCCTTTCGGGGCTCATCTAAAAGGCTCCTCCGCCAAGACTAGGGGACACCAGGAATTAGGTTTGTTTGCGGTGCCTCAGAAGGGGCAAGATGGCGACAGATACCAGAGCGCAGGCGCAAACGCGCGCGGCTCGCCGGGAGGTGTAGTTCGCCTTTCCCGCCTTTTGAGGAACGAACACTCAAAAGCCTCCATTCGTCCTGTCCCTTTTACTCCGCGTTTTGAAAGGAAAGAGCAGACGACGCGGGGCCCAGTGGGAGTTGTAGTCCTAGTTCAACCTCGCTCTTCTTTCTCTCGCTGCTTGCTGGTCACACGCGCAAGGAAGTCTGGGAGTGTAGTTCCTTTAGGCTTCTATATTACCCTCCAGTCTCCAGCTTCGCGCGCCTACTCTCCGGCCTTTCCCAGCCAATCAGCTGCTCTTTCAACTATACGTGTGGCGTCACACGTAGCGGTTAAGATGGCGTTGGTAATTGGATCTGAGCTTCGACCTTTTTACTCTAGCGAGGTTAGGGATGAATAGAACACAGCCTGGTCCCTGATGCCCGGTTGAGGATTAAGATCTGGTTCCTTAGACGCTTGGGAATAGTCATCAGCGTCTTCCAGCCACCTAAACGACAACTCAAGAGAGCTTATCCGCTACGGAGAGAGAAGACCTCACAGTGGCCCTTACACCATTCTCGGTGTTAAGAGTTGCAAGTCGAGGAAAGGAATCCGAGCGATCTCGGCTTGGGGTTACGCCAGGTACGAAGTAGGAAAGGTAGTGATATCTCGTGCAATATCTGTGAAAGGGAAGAAGAGATTTACTTGAGGCACTACGACATGGTAGGTTCACCCTCAGCCTTTGTTATTATTTAAGACATCTCTAAATAAAAAACTCTGGTACCATCGGATGCAATGAAAGTGTGAAAATCTAAAGGAATTGTTAGTATGCATCCTGCTGTTAGCAAATTCCCTTGATAACTAGGGTAACCACTAGAAGGACATCTAGCTCAGTGGTAAATTACTTGTAGAGTCTGTGCATAGACCTGGAGCCCTGAATTTGATTCCTAGCACTAAGTGGGTGTGGGATAGACACACGAGAAAAACTACCCTATGGGAGTACTAAGACACACAACGTGGATGAAAGTTTTTTCTCCTAGTTCACTATGAATTACGTTTGTATTCCCAGCACTGAGGAAGTGGAAGAAGGAAGATGAGTCAGACTGGACTGCTAGAGGCCCCATGACCCCAAAAAAATTTTTAAATAAATTGTGAACCACTGTGTAAATGTGAGTCTATTCATGCTCCTGAACAGAGCTGTAGGTTAGTCAGAAATAAAAAAACCTATTTCCTACACATCTCTCCTGGCCTTCTTGTGCACCCTATTTTGAGGTCAGTTTCTTTTTGTTTTTTTGAGACAGGGTTTCTCTGTGTAGTCCTGCTTGTCCTGGAACTCACTCTGTAGACCAGGCTGGCCTCAAACTCAGAAATCCACCTGCCCCTGCCTCCCAAGTGCTGAGGGGAGGTCAGTTTCTTAAGAATACCTTATAAGGTGGTAAATTAAGTCTTCTAGAGACAAGGATCAAAGGTGCAAACCACCACCACCTGATCAGTAAATTAAGTCTTAGGAGATTTTGTAATTTAACAGACATTCTTAGATTTGACTCTTGCAGCATCTCCTTGAGACAGGTGTAGTTAAGCTTCACCACTCTATGAATGGAAAGGCACAGCTGTTCAGGAACTGGTGAACGGAGGGTTCATGTAGTAGAACTGTCTCAGAAAAGATCTGGAGAAATGGCTGTGGTTAAGAGCACTGGCTCTCTTCCAGAGAAGCTAGGTTCTATTCCCAGCACCCACATGGCAACTCACAACCATAAATTCAGTTACAGGTACCTTAGGAACTGGACACATGTAGTACATAGATGTCCACACAGGCAAAACACCCAGAAACAGGAAATCTTTTAAAGAAGAAAACAACAAAAACTTGACTTTTACAGTAAGTCAAAATTTGTTGGAGTTGATCCTCCACCTCTTACATAGTAAGTCCTTACAATTGTCAAGTATATCCCTAGTTAAAAATAAGTCCCTGGTACAGGGTGAAAAACATCCCTAAGGTCCATAAGTAGACTGATAAAACAAAAATTTGAGTTTTGGCAGTCTGGGGTTGGCGAGAAGGTTCAACAAGTGAAGACACGTGTCTTGCAAAGCTACTGACCTGAATTCAATCCTCGAATGATAGTTAGAGAACTGGCTTCACAAAATTGTCCTCTGACCTCCAGCGTGTATACACACACAATGAGAAAACTCTTGTTATAAATGTAGGCACCTTGGTCCTAGAGTCTGTACCTTCAGCCAATAGTACCTCTCAAGCTTTAATATTAGCAGGAACACATGAAGGTAGGTCCTGGTAAATGCAGATTTTTGGTTGTGTAGTTTGAGGATAACACCAGATCCTCTTTCTAAAGAGCTCCCAAGTCTCCATGCTGCTGGCACTACATATTATGTTACACCTTCCCCTTTCTCCTAGCCATTTTCATTTGTTGGCTTTTGGTTGTCGTTGTTGTTTGGAGTCAAGGTCTTACCACGTACCCTAGGGTAGCCTCAAACTTGAGATCCTCCTGCCTCAGCCTTCTGAGGATTACAGGTATGAACCAAAGTCCCTAATGTCCTCTCTCTTAAGGATCAGACTCAAAGTACAGTTCTCTCTTACATCACATCCTGGCCCTACCAGTCTCATGTCTGTTGCCACATCATGTTACACAGCAAGAGAGAGAGAGAAAGAGAGAAAGAGAGAGAGAGAGTGTGTGTTAAGGTCATTTAAAAATTCCCTGGCTAGAAAGCAAGCTCTCAATGGAGAGGTATCAATCATATATATTCATTTTTTTGTGTCTGATGCACAAAATAATAGCTATATTAAAACTAATAGCTAAAACATACTCAACGGCTTTTTCTATTCTAGTTGCTTTTCCATGTAGTAGCTTCCTTAATCCGTACAATAACCTGATGGTAACTGTGTTACTCATGGTTCTCTAGAGGAACAGAACTGATAGAATGAATAAATAAATGTATATATTTATATAGATGGGATTTATTAGAATGGCTTACAGGCTGTAATCCTACAATGGCTGTCTTCCAATAGAAGGTCCAGGAGTCCAGTCATTGTTCAGCATGGATGTCTCAGCTGGTCTTCAGTATAATCTACAATCCTGAGGAAGTAGGCTGTAATGCCAGTGAAGGAATAGACTTGGCTAGAAGAGCAAGCAGACAAAGGGAGTAAGCTTCCTTCTTCCTGTCCTTTACATAAGCTGCAAGCAGAAGGTGTGGCCCAGGTTAAAGGTAGCTCTTTCCACCTCAAAGGATCCTGACTAAAAGTGGGTCTTCCCATGTCTGATGATTTGGTTAAGAAAAAAAATCCACCACAGGTGTACCAAGCCACCTGGGTTTTAGTTAATTCCAGATGTAGTGAAGTTGACAACCAATAATGGCCATCAAGTAGCCATGTTTGTGGGTGAAAAAACAAAAACCAAGTTAAATCCCATGCAGATAACAGATGAGTAAAGTAGCAAAGCTATGATTTCAGATTAATTAACTTGCAAGGGCGAAGTAAGACCAGCTAGTCCTTATTGATCGCAATTGCCTAGTCTGGGAGAATGCTTAGGGGTAGATAGAACTAACTATTCCTTGCTTAACAAGAAGCTAAGTATTAAAGCTGCCTCCATCAAGATAAGAGGCCTGCCATGGGGCTAGAGATGTAGCTCAGAGGTTTAGAGCACTTGTTACTCTTGTAGAGGACCATAGTTTGATTCCCAACATCCATGTTATCTATAACTCCAGATCTGGGGAATCTGATGCCCTTTTCTGACCTCAGGCACCAGACACACATGTGATTCACATACATGCATGCAGTCAAAACACTCAAACACAAAATAAATTAATCTGAAATGAGGAGAGATTTTTCTTTTTAATTATGTATATGTGATTCTGTGTGGGATTGTTTACATGAGTGCAGTACCAGTGGAGACCAGCAGAGGGCGTGGAGCCCCTTGGAGCTGGAGTTACAGGTAGTTGCAAACTACCAGATATGGAGCATGGGAACTGAATTCTGGTCCTCTGCAAAAGCAAACAAATGTTGAGCCATCTCTCCACCCCCAACTTGGCTCACTTCTACATTTAAGAAGAAAAGAGTCCAAAGAAGTAACAGCAGGACTGGGCCTTCTGGTCACTGTACTTTCCACTGTGCCACACTGCCCTTAGATTCATACCTTGAAGTTTGCCACTCTAATGCTGTCAAGGGATATACTGAAAATTGGACTTTTGGGACCAAAACAAAATAAGTAAACTATGGAATAATAGATCAAGATAAGTGGCTTTGGGGACTGAAAAGAAAGGAAACAAGGTAATTGATAATTATAATTAACATTCCCGGGATCAAATAGTATCCAACATCATCGAACCATCTAGAATGGCCTCAGAAAGGACAGTGAGACATCTGGCCACTGCTTCATCAACTATATCCATTCACCCTCAGTATCTTTGCTTCCTGAATAGCTTGCTTCCTGGTCTCAACAGACAGGGCCTTAACACTGTGAACTCAGCCATTTTGCAAATCCTCTTCTTCCTGAGATGCTCCAGAACACTTTGCCCAGTATGCCACTGTCCTGCCAGAAGCAGCTCTCCTAGTTACCAACAAAATAAAGCTCCAGTTGTTTTCAAGCAGACCCGACATAGTTACAATTCTAAACTCTTCTAGACCACTGCCACCTCTTGGCCCTGTTTAATGTCTGTCTAGCACTTAGCTCGAGTGTACTGCCTCCCTTGATGTCCCTTCTTCCTTCTCTGGAACTAAGAGTAAAAGTCAGTGTTCATCCACACGTCCGGACAGCTCCCCCATGCCGTAGCTTTCACTATCAAGCAAAGCTGCCCTGTCCAGTCTGTCACTCTGAGGAAGATCTTTGTCAGACAGTCTACTGTCGCCAGCTTCATCTGCCCCATTGTCCTCTCTTCTCTTGCACCGTTATAAAAGCCTTTCATCATCGTCGCTGCTGGCAGCTCCTCACTTCTGTGACCGAGTCTTCTACTTCATTCTACCAAGCTGTTCCGCTGAAATCAGAGACCAAGGTATCCCACATTCTAAGCAACGCTTTTTAACCCAGGTTTCTTATTCCTTCGCCCTCACCGAACCTGTTCAACTTCAGTGACATTTGCAGGCTTCCGGTTCAGTTCTGCTTCCTTTTCCTGTTTTGACTTTCTCCCCTGAACCCCACATCATTTATTTCAAACTCAGTCTTCTCACCAGTTTCCATTTGTCTCTGTCCTGTCCACCTAAGATAGTCTTCAACCTTACATAATTTTCACCAGTTTGTTAACCATTAGTGCTTAGTAAATTATCACGAACCCCAGTGTCTTGAAACAATAAATATTTTGTTTTAATTCAGTTTTTAGTTTCTGAAAAAGTCACAAGTTACTTAGCTGGGTGATTTTGGGTGGAGAGGGGAAGGCAAGGTTGAGAAAGAGTCTTATTTTCATATTTCAGGCTTGCTTGGAACCCACTACATAGCCAGGCTGGCCTAAATCTCTTGGTTGTCTTCCTACTTCAGCCTTAAGTGGTCCGATTACAGGCATAATACTGGCAGCTGGGTGATCACTGTGGCCATAGTTGAAAATACCAACTTCCATTGTCCATAACTATCTACATCCTGGTTACTAGCCAAAACAACTCACATCCCTCCCACACTCCTTTGCTCAAAAATTTCCAGTCTCTCTTCATTAGAGAAACAGGTTCTTGTGTCTGGTTTCCTTTTTTTTCTCTTTTCAGCTAACTAAATAAATGAACCTCATGTATGTGTGTGTTTGCTTGTGTGTGCACGCATGAGCACCATATTCACATACATGTAGTGGCATGCTACACATGGAGATATGCAGGTCAGAGGACAACTTTTGGGAGTAACTTCTTCACCCTGAGTGATCACCTGGGGGTCAAGCAAAGGTCCTCAGCCAAATGTAGAACATGTCATTACCCCAACCTTACTCATGAGGACATTTTTGTCATCCTAATCTGATCTAGCTACATTCCCTCAGGTACATTTACTCTCAGGGTAGCCAACTGTTCTCCCTGTGTGTCTAATGGTCAATGACAGAAATGAGCATAGAATGGCAACCACAAACTTCCATTCCAAACAAGAAAAAACCGAAGAGCCAGGACCAGTGGCACAGGTGCTAATACAACCGGAGGAAAGACAAAATTAGGATTGTCATGCACCAGCTCTCAAATTATTTCCCTATCTGAGG